GGATTAACCTTCTGAATTTCCTGAGAAATAGTTTTTTTGAGAACAGTATTATTTCTCATTATAATTTCTTCAATAAGTTTAACTTTTTCTTCAATAATAATTCCACTCCACCATCTGCAGCAGTAATTCCTTTTAAGGATAGGCAAATGTGAGTCATCCTAGTCTGACTCAAAAGTCCATGTCCAAATCCATGGAATCTCTATTTCAGAGAAGAAGTGGACAACACACAATCCTTCGATAATATGATCATCGTCCATTTTGGAAATAATGGGATGAGATTCTACCCAACAAGAATATAATTTAGATATGAGTTCTGGAAGAATATTTAATTCCGCACCATAAATTTTCCACCAATCATAAAACCATGATGGAATGCCCTTTCTAAGAGCTTCTGGACAAAGTTTAATCATCCATGTATGCTTGTTTTTGGGATTTTCATATAAAAAGATATTATAAAATGCCTGCTTATAATCCCAATAATGAAGGAGTATATCTCTTTAGAATTCTGGGCTTTAACCAAAGGCAATTCTTGGTTTGGGTTTATACCCCATTTCCGAGGTAGAATAACCTCTTTAATAATACACTTACTAAAATTTAGGGGAATATTTTTATTCTCAGATCCCTAGAAATGGGTAATTTCCATTTTTTTGTATTATTAATGTTTTCATCCAAGATCTAGATTTTAATGACAATGTTAGATAATAATTATCATTTAAATATCTCACTCTGATATTTTTAGTATCATTCATGAGAGGAATATCCTCTTGTTCTAAGTATAGAACAGTTTCTGACATCCTTTTAGGTGTCCATTCTGTTTCTCGTTTTACTATGAGATTAAAAGGCTCAGGATTATTATCCTGACTTACTTCATTGACAAGACCTTTATAAAAGGTTTGAGACGGGCTTTGAGCTGGGCTTGAATAATTCTTTTTTGCAACAGTTCTCCATGAACTAGATTCAGGAAGAAGAGAACCTTCAAAAGGTTCAATAGGACTATAAGCCCTCTGAATATTCTAGGAATTATTTCCCCTGCCTCTTCCCCTCCCTAAAGAGGGATTATACCGCTTCATAGGGCACCCTGTAAAAATTCACGGGTAAGAAAATCAGGTAAGAAGTTATTACTTCCTTTAATAAATTCAATTTTAAACTCCTACATAGCGAGTTCAGCTTGCCATCTAGTAAAAATTTGTTTAGAAACAAGATTTTTAACATCTTTTTCTATAACGCTTTTAGCAGAACTATAATCAATTCGTAGTAAAAATTCTTGATTGAGAATATCATCTCTGAATTTAGAGAGACATTTAATAATAGAAAGCATTTCTTTCTTAATAGTTGAATAATTAAATTGGGATTTATCCCATTTACCAGAAGTAAATCTAACAAGCTGCTCTTTATTAGTAGCAGGATCAATTTGTTTAATAATTCCTCCATAACCTATATTAGAGGCATCAGTTTCAACTATTTTATACCAATCAACATTTGTTAAATGAGTACAAGGTAAACATTTAACATTATTTTTAATTCTTTTAACAGCTTCAGTATGCTGATCTGTACAAGGTAAACATTATTTTTAATTCTTTTAATTCTAAACATACAATTTTATGCATGTTTAGAATTGGTATCAGAGCCATGTTAGGCTAATTTTGTTCTTACGATTTATTTGTCTTTTGATTTATTTATAAGAATGTAAATTATCTATATGTTCTTCCTTTTCTTTAGCTATGAACTTAGTTTTCTGGTCTATAGAACGTCACCAAAGTCGCATAGTGTAAAACCCAGTTGTTGCCGAGATGGGGTTAAAAGGGTAGTGTAAATTGTTGACAGACGTGTAGACTTTTAACTAAGTTGATTTTTGAAGAAAAGAAAGAAAAATAGTTAATTTATATCCTTATAGATTGTCTTACGCAAATAAATCTGTAAGATTTATATGTCTGAATTAATTCCCTCGTCTTCTACTTTAAGTAAGACCCTTAATAAGGACAAACGAGTAAAAAATACTTAAAGTACAGAATATACCTCTGAAATAGAGGCTTTGAATAAATGGATGATTCCTGCTATCCCTAATAGGGATATTTATAAAATAGGTTTTTTGGATTATAAATCCTTAATAACTATTAAAACTTTAGAACGAACTACAACTGTAGATCGTGATGAGCAAACATTACAATTGCTTAGTCCTATTGATATTGATCCTTATATGGATAAATATAATTATATTCATATCGGCTTAATACAAGTCGCTTTTAGACCTTTAACTTTACAAGGATTAAATGCATCTATATTAACATGTTTAAGAGATGCAAGATGTTTAAACTAGACCCAATCTTTAATGGGTATAATGAAAACTAGTCTATGTAATGGACCGGTTTATTTTAATGTCTATCCAAATTTAAGTTTATCTTTAACAGACCCAAATATATTTGAGGCAGTTAGCTTAAATATAAAAACTCATGGTTATAATTTTATCTCAGGATCTGAGACTATAGCCATAATTTATAGAATTCATTATAAAACCTTGATTTCTTTAGCTCCAAAAGCTAAAATTCATTCTAAACTAGGAAAAACGGTGCTGGTCAAAACAAATGTTTTATCATCTAATATTGCTATTAACAGACAAATTAAATGGGATGAAATAAATTTTCCTAACAGTTGGGTTATACCTAACGCTGTTCAACCACAACCAATAATCAATCAAGAGATTGATCAAATAACTCAAACAGTTGATGGAGAAGTTGAAATTGTTTTTAATCCTTCTCGAACTATTAGTCTATCTAACGTTACTAGTACTTCTAGAAGGTCAATTTCTAGATCATGTTCTTATAGAACCAACGATGTTAAAGGCATAAATATTTCTGAGAATCATATTCCTCACGCTTTATACAAAGAAAAGGAGAAAAATTCTCCTACAAGCTCTAAAATAAGTTTTAGAATGCCTGGTTAATATGAATATTATAAAAAATAAAGAAATTAAAAAATTTCTTAATAAGGAATTTCAAGAAGAAAAACATTAAGAAATTAGAAAATGGTTCTTCAAAAGATTTTCTAAAAAAAAAACAGCTAGAATTTAAAGATAAATATTATAAAG